ATTAAAAACAAACTGACAGTAACTGGAGTGGAGGTGGGAGGGCATAATATTAAGGAGGAAAAGGGGGAAGAGTTGTTGAGGCGCATGTGTAAAGGGCATGGACAAAGCCAAAGAGAGGGTAGGGTCAAGGGTGAGAGTTGGGGTGTCTGGGGTGTGGGGGAAATGGAGACAACTGTACTTGGACAACAATAAAAAAAATACTCCATATCCTTAATTGGGTCCACTTTACATGTAAATTTATGTTAAACTCTTTGATTAAAATTATGAACTCAAGTTTCTAAAAAACAACAACAAAACTCAATAGTTTATAAAAGGACAGTTGGATTCAAATCTGGTTTTGGCATTTGGGATAAGAAGAACTTAAAATTTGTATCTGTCCTTGACAAGTCAAGTTTTCCTTTTAAAATAAGCGCATGTAGTGTGGGGTTGGGACTTAGGATTATCGCTGGAAGAGCCTTCAGGGTCTGAATTTGTCTGGTGCATTCCAGCTAGAACAGCAAAGTCTGTGGGGACAGTGAATGCTGCCCAGGGATGCGACTCGGCCCTTGATGGTTGAAGCCAGCCTACCACACCCTTGTGGACTCCTCCTTCCTTGGTGCCCCTCGCTTGGGTCACAAGACCCACCTTGAACCCCTTCACCTGCTTGGGGCAGCCTCCTAACTGTCTCAGGTGTCCTAGTCTGAAACCTTTTGCATTGCACACAACTCATTTTTAAGCACCTGAGAAATATTGTAGAGAAAAATGCCTGTTGGATGCAAAAGAGGCTAATTTTATTTTTTGAAATTTTTAAGATGGAACGCAGCCAAGTAGTGTGTGGTGAGGAAGAATACAGTGGCTACTGGTATAGTTGATGCCAGTACATTAATTCATGTTAAGTGTTCTGGAGAAGTCAAAGCTTTCCTCCTTCATTAAATCCTCATCACGTTTCATGGAAATAAAATTATTTTTAAAAATATGGACATCTGTTTTTAATACCTCAACCGAATTGGGTCACCACTTAAACTACATCATAGGTTGGTCCATTTACTAAATCTTTTTTTTTTTTTTTGGAAGCTTTGAAAGACCAGTTAAATGATTTGCACTTATTCTGCCTAATTTTATAACCAGTTTTTTTCTAACTGTGTGTGGAAATGACTAGAAGTAATAAAGGATCCTGCAGGAGTATTCATGGGAGGCTGATGGTTGTGAGACTTGTTGGCCTCAGAGGCAGAATTTTCCATGTTAATTTTAGTTGTCCTCTAAGATCTGTCAAGTCTGAATAAACGTCTAGAGAAAAGCAGCCTCTAAGTGCACATCTCCAGATGAACTACATCATACCCTAGAGGAAATGTTTCCTCAGGCAGTTCACAAAGATTCTTAGTCACCTAAGAATACCTCAGATGTGGGTTGGGGAAGCACGTGATCTTTCTCTTTCGGAGCTAAGGAGAGTTCTGTCTCTCATTTAATCAGCAAAGATTATGTTCAGACTCAGGGTAAGCAATCCAATTTAAAAAAAAGTAAAAGCAGCAAATCATTTCCCCTTCCTTTCCCTGGGTTAGCCCAACCCCTTTTCCACTTCAAGAATTTTCTAGGAACAGCTGAAGTCAGCACCTGCTACCTAAAGCAGGGAAGTCCAGGATTTTAAGAGACAACTTATTCAAGTTTACCCAATGTGAAGCCGGGAGCCGGTGGGGCACAGTGAGCCCCTGCTGGTATCTAGCACTGGGGTACGGGTCTGCAGGGTGTTGCGGGGGGAGGGGGGGCTTCTTCAGAATGCTGCAGAGTATTCCAAGTAAATGTTAAGGTAAGAAACGTCCAAATCTGTAGAGATTTTTTCTAAGTGTTTATTTGAGCCAAACTAATGACACGCTGGGAAGCAAGATTTCAGATGCTGTGGAGAATAACAGTTCTGCAGTTTCTTTTATACATTTGGAATGAAGGAGGGAACGTAAGGAAGGTTACATGAAGGTGAGAGAAAACAAGGTACAGAATAGTTAAGATTATGCTCCCTTGTGGATGGTTACTTCTGAGGGCTCTGAAAAGAAGGCATTTCAAAGGTGTGTTAACCTAGATGCACAGAAACAATGGACAGGGCTTAGCTTAAGACAAAGGTAAAGCTTTTATCGGTCTGTGAGTACTAATCATGACCAACTGGTTAGGAATTTATGATCGGATCACCCTGTGAGTTTGCTTTTGATTAGATTTATTAGAGTCCCTTTTTTGTCCACAAGGCAGTACTAGAATTTTAAGTTCTGCCTGTCTCCATCCCTTCTCCTACCTAACACATACATATCAGGCCCCAAGGAAGCTGCTGTTGGGTGACTGATGTCTGGAGACTCTTGCAGGGTGGTATTCTTTGACACCTTGGAGGCATCTAGGCCAGCCCACTTGTATTACAGATAGGGAAGCAAGCCTTGAAATGAGAGCTGACCTACCCTGATTCACAGTCAGATCAAGGCAAAGCATGTAGTCTCTTAATTTCTACCCCATGGGAAGGATGACCTTTGTCACACTTTAGCCTCTGGGGAGCAGATTGGGATGTCCTTTTGTCACAGGAGAGCCACCGCTTGTTGCTGGAGGTCAGAGCCATTGGTAGAGCTGAACTCTTATCCGATTCTTAAACCGTGAGTTGGATCTGCACCCATCCCTGTGTCTTGGGGCAGAATTGCAGTCACTGGGCAGGCTGCTTTCTTTCCTCCTGGGCGGGTCTGCTCCATTTGTCTTGGTCCTCTCTCTGCTCCAGGGCCTCCTTCCCGAAGCCCCTACTTCGAGTCTCACCTAGGAATCAGTGAACAGTCTGACACTGTACACTTGGCAATGAGGCCCTGCCAGTCCCTGTGACAAGTGGGAGCAATGGAAGCAGAGGTGGCTAGGGGGTAAACCATTTGGCCCTGAGGCTCTTGAATGTAAGGCTTTCCCACTGGTCTGAAGACAGGGCCACTGAGGAAGGACTGTAGCCTACGTAGGGCCTGTGTTCCTTCTCCAGAAGTACTGGGCCACTTCCAGAGAGACTCTGCCCTGGCCCCAGGGGCTTTTAAAGGCTGAGTGATATACTACAGGGACATGCAAATGGAAAAGCATGACTAGAGGGGGTACCAGAAGTTGTGTTAGAAATGTCTTGTATAAATTTCTCCCTCCCCTCTTGTCCTATGCTATAAAGCAATCTGCACCGGGAACCAATGTCAGCTAAATTCATGAGTTTGGGATGAGTAAGTCAGTCAGCCCTGCTCCTGTCGCAGAGAAACTCCCAGAAACTTGGTTCTCCTTGCTGACACAGTAAAGAATTAGAGATCAGCAAGCCTACTAGCACACAAGCAACGTTTATTAATGGTAAGTTCTAATAGGAAAGCAAAAGCAAAGGGGGCTAGAGCAGGGTGGTCAAAAAGGGAGGCCAGACCCCTCCACCCCCTCCACCCGCCACTCCTAGCCCGGGTGGCAAAAAGAGCCAAGAGAGGTCTTTGTTCTGAGGGATGTGGGTGAGGGAGCTACATATAGATTGGTGGGTAAAGGTGGTTCCAGCTTCCCCCCAGGGAGACGCAACTACCCAAACATAGGTAGGTACGGAGGTCTCTTAGCCCAAAGCCTTATCTTGATCCAGACTATTTGTTCATTTTGTATATGTGATGGAAGGCAGGCTGTTAACCAAAGTTGTTTTATGGGCTTCACTGTGGAGCCCTCCCTCCTTCTGCCTTCTAGGCCTTGGGGTGAATACAGTCTCAAGGTTCTCCTTTTCCCAGCTAGTGGAGGTGATGCACACAGACTGTCAAGGGCTTCCCCCCTCCCACACTGTCTTATTTGGAATGCCCGGCAGCCGTATTGGACCAGGCTCAGCACTACTGGGTCAACAGGTGCCTTTGCTTTCAGCCTCCTGTATAAAGTTTTTTGTTAAATTGCAGTGGTGAGGTCCCTGCCTTTATTCCCCCTCTGGCTGCTTGTTCTACCGTAGCACTCCTACTTGGCGCTTGGGACTTTGGGAGATGTGTACGCATCCTGGGGATGAGGGGCAGCGAGGTGGAGAGGAGCACCGAGTCTTCGAAGTCCCACCAGCTTGGGCTTTAATTCCATCCGTGCAACCCCGGGCAAGTCCCTGTACAGGAACAAGTGCCACAGGCTAGGTGGCTTTAACAGCAGACATTTGTTCCTCACTTTGAGTTCCTGAGGTTGAAAGTCTGAGGTCAAGTGTCGGCAGGGTTGATTACTTTGAGACCTCTCTCCTTAGCATGTAGATGGCTACTTTCTTGCCATTGCCCTCACGTGGTCATTCCTCTGTGTGTGTCTGTGTCCTGCTCTTATAAGGAGTCCAGTCGTATTGGATTAGGAGCCTAATGACCCCATTTTAACTTAATTATCTCTTAAAGACCCTACCTTCAAACACAGACATATTCTGAAGTATTCTGGGGGTTAGAGCTCAACATACAGATTTGAAGGGAGCACAATTCAGCCCATAACAAACACCAGCACAGTGCATGAACCCTGAGTAGGTGTGCCATAAAGGGTCACTGTTGTTCATTACTGGCATTTTTTAAAGTACAAAGATCAGTGGATTACTTAATGCAGGTGGTCATTGTGAGAAAGGATCCATTCAGTCACTGAGTAAATATTTACTGAACACCTACTGTGTACAGACCCGGTTCTTGGCATTGGGATCCTCAGTGGATCAATGGGCTAAACTTCTGTCCTCACAAGTTGACATTGTTGTGTAGGAGGTGGTGGATAATAAGCAAAATCAATTAGTACAGTGTCAGAGGTTAGAAGCTGGTGAGTTTTGCAGAGAAAATGAAACCTGAGGGAAGGGAGCCTCAGGAAGATGTGGAGCAGAGTCTTGGCGGAGGCCCTCTAGCTGCATGCGGCAGGTCAACTGGAGGGTGAGGAGGAAGTAGGAAGACTGGGTGTTATGGACCCCTGCTGCAACTCAGTAGCCCATCTCTTGACCGTCACCCTCTCCTACCTCCTGGTGTCCTGAAAGGCCCTGGATTCTGAATTTTCATTCATAGGAGGCCTCTCTCTTCTCTCTTCTGCAGCGTGGAGGGTGAGGCCCCCAGCAGCGAGACCTGCACGTCACTGGACAGTCCTTCAGCCTATCGCCAGGGTCCCTTAGTGCCTGGCTCCAGCCTGAGCCCGGACCACTACGAGCATACGTCTGTGGGCACCTATGGGCTATACTCTGGGCCGCTGGGGCAGCAGCAGCGCACACGGAGGCCCAAGCTGCAGCACTCGACTTCCATCCTACGCAAGCAGGCTGAGGAAGAGGCCATCAAGCGCTCACGCTCCCTCTCAGAAAGCTATGAGCTCTCCTCAGACCTGCAGGACAAGCAGGTAGGTGGATCCAGTCTCTTGGACACTGGGGACAGGCAGCAGGGCGGCTCCGCCTGCTACGCGTCTTCCCAGGAATCATGTGGCCCTTTGCTAGAGTAGCAGGAGTCTGTCAGCTCTCATGCTCGTGTTCTGCAGTCTCCAACACGAGGAAGTATAAGTAAGGCTCATGCTCCTTAAGAATGTGGCCTTTGCCTTAGCGTGAGCTAACTTGCCCCTCCTGAGGCATGGAGGGGTTCAGAGTGAAGGGACTGGACTGTGGACATTTTTTCTGTCAAGCCTTTGCCTCTGCCCTGTTCCCAGCCCTAATGCCTGGGGTCCGGGCTGTAATGAGGGTCTGGATGTCAAGGCCTGACACCACAAGGACACACAGGTGGTGTGTCCAGCTACTGAGTTTCTAAGTCCCCAGGAGAAGTCTGACCCTTGGGAAGACTGATCAGGGAGACCCTGGAGAAAAGGGAGGGAGGTCAATTTACAATAGAAATAGCTCTTACTCTGAAAAGAACACCAAGTCCAACCACAGCCAGTGAGGAGACGTTGTTTAGTATATCCTTTCCAGTTTACAAGTTAGCATTCTTGTGGGAAGTCACCTCATTGAAGGCTGCAATTCTGCCACAGTGTGAGGTCAGCACCTCTGTACTGAGGCTGATGCACCCCCTGGCTGAGTTCCAGGAAGGAGGAAGAGGGGAAAGGCCTGTCACAGCTGGGTGGTGGTGGGTGGGGGAGCAGAGAGCAGGAGGTCATTGAGGGGCAGAGAGTTCTTTTAGGACCACAGAGTGCAGGCACATAACAGGCACTTTAACAAGAATTTAAGTATGAAACTCCAAGGCAAAGTTCCAGGCTTCAGGAGAAGTTCCAAGCTTCTCCGGGGAAGCAGCTGTGCAAGCGTACAGGACTGGGTTGTCTCCCTGACTCAGTCTCCCCAGCTCCTGGACATTCAGCTCTGGGCTGTCTCCTGTGGGTCCTTAGCAGCCACCTCTGCACTTGCCTGGCCCCAGGACCATAGTCCTTCAGACACCAGGCTGTAGAAACCATCTCGCCCTTCCTTCCTGCCCGTACCTATCCCAGGGCCTGGTTGTCCTCTGTCCACTTCCAGTCTTCCCGTGTCCTTTTTGGACCAGAGGTCTGGGCCTGGCATGGCCCTCAGTTCTTTGGGGAGCAGTGTGGTAACTGCCCAAGGTGGGCCTTTCCCCAACACCTGTTCTCCTGCTCTCGTAATTGCCCTTCAACTTTTGGACATCCCTGCCCACCTCAGCCCTGATCTCTCTTAATTCTTCTACCTGTGAGTTGGTATTGAGAGGGGAGATAGCAAGCAGCCAGAGCCTAATAGCAGGTGGCCCCATCTCAGTCTGTGGAAGCAAATAATGCCCTGCCCTGTGGTATTTGGCCGCATGAATAGGTCCATAGCGGGGCCGGGGGGCAGGAGGAGGCAGCTCCTGTTCCATTTATCAGTTACATCTAGATGCAGAGTGGATCAGAAACAATTTATAGTAAAGGACATAGGCAGCAGGACCAATAAAATAGAACTGAGAAAGTTTAAGACTTAGTAGAAGCCTATAGAGATGATCACGTGCTTTATATAGCCTTAATATGGCCACAGATGTTCATTTTTATCCATACATGTTCATCAGACGTCCATCTGTGCCAGTGTGCTGGGTGCTGGGGAGTCTACAGTGGAACAAGGTCATGCCCCAGCTCTTGACCTGACACTGCGGTCCAGGAGATAGACCATGGATAAGTTAGCAATAAAGACACAGTTTAATTCCAAAAGCGATACAAACATTAGAGATTAGGAAATAGGGGAAAGAAATTGAATGATTGTGGGAAGTAACAGCATTGGATAAGGGTAGTGGAGAAGACCTCTCTAAGGTGGCATGAGAACTGGGTTTTTTGTGGAAGGGGCTTTCCAGCAAGAGGTAATAGCAGGTGAGAGCCCCTGAAGCAAAACAAACTTGGGAGAGAGGGTGGCAGGGACGAGGTGGTAAAAAGTGAGAATGAGGAAGTGACATTGAGGGTCAGGGAGCATTTGACTCTGCGCTGAGCTTCCTGGCAATCAAGACAAAAGTGGGACTAGGACAGGTTACACGAGAATTGCCAGGTGGATGTAGGGTACCTGATTCCAAGAGAAGTTCAAGTCTGTGTAAGACCAAGTCCCATTTAAGCGAAAGAAGCCCAGTGGAAAGCCATGGCTTTTCCATCTGGCCCCATGGCCTCTGCACCTCCTGGTAGTTTCCTGTCAGAGCCAGAGGAATAGGTCTTTGAAAGGTGGTAGTTCTGCTTTAAGGAAGGGTGTTTCTTCCCAGTTTCTCTTCCCCACTGTGAAGAAGTGCCCCTTTAAAGGCAGAGTGAGGGTTTGGTGGGAAAGACCTGGCTGGAATTGGCTTCTTGTCGCACTAGTTCTTTGAGCCTCCTCTGAGAAGCGTGCATCCTTATGAGCATCTGAAGACTGTATCATTGTGAATATCAGGTGAGCACATACCGATTGGATGTCCTCCCGTGCACCCCAGTAAACTTTCAGAGCAGGCCTTGGGTGGATTCTGGCCTAGAGGGAAGAACGACCACCGTGAGTCTGGGTGATGGGTAAGAGCAGGCCTGGCTCAGTGTGTGTTCTCTGGGGGAAGCCAAGTAGGAGGGACCGAGAGGGGCTTTGATGACAAAACACAGAGCCCATTTCTGCCTTCCTGAAGTCCCTCTTTTCTCCCTCCCCTGCACCTTCAGGTTTGGGAAGCTGGTCTCAGACAAAGAGGGTTGCTGCTTGGTTTATGAGGTCCAGAGTCAGCAGGAAAAAATAGGCCCTGGAGTGAGCTCTGGGCCTGAGCTGGTGACCCTGGCATCATGACATCTACTCCTCCCCTATCCTCCACCAAGGCTAACATAAGGGGTTTAGAACTGCAGGCCTGGGAGGGCAGAGAAGAGAGAGCTTCCTGAAGCTCAGCTTTGGGCCCTTTATTGGCCCAGTGGGCTTTCAGAGCTCTATTCAAAACCAAAAAAAAAAAATTTTTTTTTTTGCTTACAGATGTGGAAGTAAAGTCACCTTCAGAATGAAAGAAAAAATAGACCTACCCTGGCTCACTCTGGGTCTGGCCAGGCTTTGAAAAATCAGCTGGAGCCACATGCATGCCACTGCCCCTCACCCCACCCATTCCCCTTCTTCTTTCTGCTAAGAGAGCTGCTCTGCCCAGCCTGCTGCTCCCTCTTTTGTGGACCCAGAGAGCTGGCATCCCTGAAATGGGTGGCTCATGGAGCTGGGCATGCTCCTACTGTCCAGAGAGGTGAAGAGGCCGCCAGCTGGCAAGTGAGGGACCAGTACGCATATTTGGATGTGTGAGGCTGTGAGCCCTTCCTTCCCAGCCACCACAGCAGTTCTGAGCAACCTTCTCCCCTGACTCCAGCATCTATTTGGCTTTAGTTCAGTGACATCTGTGTCTGTTTGTCTGTTCCCCTTGGCAGAGTCTTAAGTTCTTGAGAGCAGGGACCTTGTTTCTCTGTGCTGCCAACTTTGGCGTGATGCCCACATGGAGTAGGCAGGTAGGACATAGACGAGCAGGGTGCAGTGCTTTGCTTCCCTGAGCAGTGTGACTTGCTCCCAAGGATCTGAGAGTTCTCTTGGCCCCATATCAGGTGCTCATTCTGTCTGGACGCCTGAGAGAAGCCAGTTTCTTCTCTTGGGTTCTCCCCAAGCAGGCTCCAGCTCCAGGCATCTATTTGTTTTTCACTCAGGATCAATGTATGAGGAGCAGCCTTCAGGGCTGTCCTTGCTCACAAGAGGGCTAGCGTGGGCCTCAGGACTTCAGGAAACCCATGTGTCACATTGGGGAGTTCCACTCCTTCTTGCCTGCCTGCAGCCTTGCCCCATCTCCAAACTCAAGGAGAAGGGCCATCAGGACCTGTGTTAGAGTTGACTCCTGACCCTGGGTGTTAGGTCTCTTCTCTGGGCCTCAGTTTTCTCATCTGTACAGTGAGAGGACTTGGGAACCCCATAATCTGTCAACACCTTCCAGAAATACACTTGAGGGTCTTGTAGCCCCAGTTGTCTCTGAGCTTGGCAAGTGCTGAGTGACCAGCACAGTCTCTGAGCAGGGCTGGGGTTAAAACCAAGGCAACTGGCCTTGAAGCCTGCTCCTCAGTTTGGTGATTCTCTCAGGCCTCCCTAAAATTTAGTGACTCCCTTGGCCAGCAAGAATGCAGTTGGTGCCATAGAGAGGAAACAAAGCTGGAAGTCCGTAGCTGATGCTCAGCACCCAGGATCTTGCCGAAATCTTTGGCAGGTCTCTTAACCTGTACATGCTCAGCTCCTCATCTCTTGGGGTGGGAGGTGCTGCCCTCACCTTTGCCAGTATCTCCAAAGTTGTGTTAAACTGCATACTCTTAAGATGCATGAGGACCACGGCTTCTGTGGCCAAAGTTTGGGGCATCATCACTTTTTAAAGGTTCTGAGTAGTCCTATAGGGAACATGAGGAATAATTGTCCCCTGTAGGGAACAATTAAAACATACTTGCTTTAATTTAACATGGTGTTTCTTTATCTTATGTTACCTGGAGCCCAGATTTTGCATATAAGCATGCCCCAGTGATTGTTTTAAGCAACTTTGGGATGTGCTGAAGCCATCCTAGATGGTGCTGCTATGGGGCCGGGGAGCGGGAATGACTGCTCGTAGGTATTGTGCTGCTGCAGCACTCAGGAGTATCTTCATTCTCTGTTCCTTTCCCTTTGCTTCTAGGTGGAGATGCTAGAACGGAAGTATGGGGGACGCCTCGTGACCCGCCATGCAGCCCGCACCATCCAGACAGCCTTCCGCCAGTACCAGATGAACAAGAACTTTGAGCGCCTGCGTAGCTCCATGTCAGAGAACCGCATGTCCCGCCGGATTGTGCTGTCCAACATGAGAATGCAGTTCTCCTTTGAGGGGCCTGAGAAGATGCATAGCTCCTACTTTGAAGGAAAGCAGGTCTCAGTGACCGGTGATGGCTCTCAGTTGGGGACCCTGGTGCCATCTGAATGCAGTGAGTTTGTTGAGGCGCCTTCCCTCAAGTCTTCAGCCCCATCTAGTGACTTTGCAGATGCCATCACTGAGCTGGAGGACGCCTTCTCCCGGCAGGTGAAATCTCTGGCCGAGTCCATCGACGATGCCCTCAACTGCCGCAGCCTTCATGCTGAGGAGGCGTCAGTCACCGACGCAGGGCGAGCCCAGGGCACGGACCCCCAGACAGCCCTGCAAACTGTGGACCACCACAAACTGGATGAGATGACAGCCTCATATAGTGATGTCACCCTGTACATCGATGAGGAGGAACTGTCACCACCCCTGCCCCTCTCTCAGGCGGGGCACCGGCCATCCAGTTCTGAATTAGACCTGCAAATAAGGGCTGGAGGTGCCACCCAGGACTACTGGGCCCTGGCTCACAAGGATGACAAGGGGGACACGGACACTAGCTGCCAGAGCACACCATCTCTTGAGCAGCAGGAGCAGCGGCTGCGGGTGGAGCATCTCCCGCTGCTCACCATCGAGCCTCCCAGTGATAGCTCCGTGGACCTCAGCGACCGCTCAGACCGTGGCTCACTCAAGAGGCAGAGCACCTATGAGCGCAGTCTTGGTGGACAGCAGGGCAGCCCCAAGCATGGCCCCCAAAGTGTCCCCCTTAAGGGCCTGCCCCGGGAGGACCCAGAGTTGCGGCCTCAGCCTTCCAGGGCCCTTGATGGCCACTTGGCCATCAATGGCTCGGCCAACAGGCAGAGCAAATCTGAGTCAGACTACTCGGATGGGGACAACGACAGCATCAATAGCACTTCCAACTCCAATGACACCATCAACTGCAGCTCTGAGTCATCATCCCGTGACAGCCTGCGGGAGCAGACACTCAGCAAACAGACCTATCACAAGGAGACCCGCAACAGCTGGGACTCACCCGCCTTCAGCAATGACATCATCCGAAAGAGGCATTATCGCATTGGCCTCAACCTTTTCAACAAGTGAGTGCCCACCAGCCCTGGAGGAGAGAGTAGGGCATGGCAGTGACACCCAGGGGACCTCGACCAGGGCCTTCCTTTCAGGCCCAGTGCCTTCGTGAGCACCTGTGGGGGTGGCCCTACAGCAGCGCCTGGCATAACCAGTGCTGTTGGTAGCAGGTATTGGAGCCTGGTGAGCAGTGTTGTGGAGAGAGCAGACACTAACAGGCTGAGCAGGGGCAGAATCAGGGGCTTCTCTGTGCTTTAGCAACATGATTTCGGGGCCTTGTCAGCACCTAGAATAGTGACTAGTACGTAGTAGGTGCTCAGGAGACTTTACTATGTGAAGGCTGATGCTGCGTGTAATACCATGCCTGTCTGTGTATATCAGGTTCCAGGGTTTGGATATTTTTCTCTGGGTGATATGGAACATGAAGATCTTTGAGAAAGGACATGATGTAGTCTATACTTGGAGGCATGTATTGGGGAAGCAGGACATAGGTAGACCCATGCTGGTGGAAGTCTCAGCCAGCAGCAAGGCCCTTTGGGAGGTGTGTGAACTGGGTCTGTTGAATGGCCACTACCTGCCACGGGTTCTAGAAAGGTGATTTCGAGGTATTCCCGAGAGCAAATCTAAGAAGGGCGACTGATATTTAGAGGCAGGCTATTCTTATTGTTGCTAAAAGTAGCGAAAGGGGAAGGGGCTGGACACTCCCTTGGAGGAGATGTTGGCCAGCTCTGGTTATTAAACCGGGGTTTTCACATCATTTCTCTCCATGGGGCCTCCAGGATTTAGGGTCACCAGACACCAGCCTGGTTCTGACCTCTCCAGGGTTGAGGACGTTGTCAGCCTGCCTAGTGGTTACTGAGACCCATTCACTGTGCTTCCCTGCTTCCTCATCTAGGTTGGGGAGTCTTGTGGGCACTTTTGAGCCATCCTTGGTGCTAGTGGAAGTGCCATCTGGGGGATTCTGAGAGGCCCATCCCAGAGGGTGGGAACAGGGCATGTCGCATTCCTGTGGGAGCAGTCAGGGGGCTTGGGGTCATAAGTCCTCACTCACCTAAGAACCAAGTCTTGGGCACCTGACATCTGCCAGGGCTGGTCTTTCCTGAGACTCCCACCTGCCTGTGGCCTGCTGCATATAAAGATCAGCCCCGTCACTGTGCAAATTGTGGTCTGGAACAGCATGCTGGACAGGGAAGGTCATGTACTGCTGAGCTCATCCTAGGCCGAGCAATACATGAGTCTGCCTATGCTGCAGCAGGGCACAGCTAGCTCCTGGATCAACTTAGATCCAGGCCTGTGCCTTCCTGGGGGAGACCAAGATAACCTGGGGATTTGCTCAGCTCCCAAGCGCCTAACTGGTCCCTAGCAGACACCGTGTCCTGATGTGGGAGTTCCAGCTGAGTGGACAGGTGGAACCCAGAAAAAAGTCCCTCACCCATGCAGTAGATTGTTTCTAGCTCTATTAGGCTTTTTTTTTTTTTTTTACTTTTTATTGAATTTTTTGAGCTGACATTAATTAAAAAATTACATAGGTTTCAGGTGTACAGTTCTATAATATGTCATCTGTATATTTTACTGTATTATGTGATTATTACCATAGACAGAGTGTGGGCAGGGTGAATGCAGGTTGGGCTGGCTACTTTGGAGGGGTGGACCCCATGGGGGCTGTGCGGGGATGCAGGTGGGCCAGGATCCAGGAGAGTCCCACAGACTCCAGTCAGCTCCCCTGGATGTCCAGCATCGGAAGGTGGGCTGAGGGCTTCAGCATCTCCAGGCTTGCTGACAGTGGGTCCTGCAGCATCCGCCATCCCCATCTCACAGACTCTGATACAACAGAGTCAAGGAGCACTGGGGAGTCAACCCCATTGGCCAAGGGGGCAGCAGGGGGAGGTTCTTACATGGATCATACCAAAGACTAGAAAAATAAATGGACAGGGCCCAGTGTGCCAAAAGCTAGAAAGATGAACAGACAGGACCCAAGTGCACTAAAAGCTGCCAACATAATTGGATAGAAAAAAATTCCTCCCTTCCCTATTCCTGTAAGAACCTTGGGCTTGGACAGGAAAGGGGGATGGTCTTCAAGACAGGAATTCAACATTCGCCCAAGTCTTGGCCCTAAATAAACATTGGGGTTTTTTGTTTTGTTTTATTTTTGCTGCAGCACCTGCCTTATGAGTTTGACTGTATTTTGGTTACATACCCTCCACCCTAAGTCAAATCTTCCATCACCATTTATGCCCCTCTTTGATCCTCTTCTATTTGTATTAGTTTTTTAAAGTTATTTTTATTGATTATGCTATACAGTTTTCCCAATTTTCCCCCTTTGCCCCCCTCCACCCAGCACCCCCACCTTCCTCAGGCAATCCCCATACCATTGTTCACATCCATGGGCCATGCGTATAGTTCTTTGGCTGCTCCATTTTCTGTGCTGTACTTTACACCGCCTGGCTATTCTGTAACTACCTGTTTGTACTTCTTAATCCCCTCACCTCTTCACTGATTTCCCCACACCCACCTCCCATCTGGCAACCATCAAAATGTTCTCCATATCTATGATTCTGTCTCTGTTCTTCTTGTTTGCTTAGTTTGTTTTTAAGATTCAGTTGTTGATAGTTGTGAGCCTGTTGTCATTGTAATGTTTGTAGTTTTTTTCTTCTTTTTCTTAAATAAGTTCCTTTAACATTTCATATAAGAAAGGTTTGGTGATGATGAACTCTTTTAGTTTTTTCTTGTCTGAGAAGCTCTTTATCTACCCTGCAGTTCTAAACAACAGCTTTGCTAGATAGAGCAATCTTGGCTGTAGGTCCCTGCTTTTCATGACTTTGAATATTTTTTGCCAATTTCTTCCAGCCTGCAAAGTTTCTTTTGAGAAATCAACCGAAAGTCTTATGGGGATACCCCTATATGTAACTAACTGCTTTTCTCTTGCTGCTTTTGAGATTCTTTCTTTATCTTTAACCTTTGGCATTTTAATTATGATGTGTTTTGGAGTGGGCCTCTTTGCGTTCATGTTGTTTGGGACTCTATGCTTCCTGGACTTGCATGTCTGTTTCCTTCACCAAGTTAGAGAAATTTTCTTTCAGTATTTTTTCAAATAGGTTTCCAATCTCTTGCTTTTTCTCTTCTCCTTCTGGCACTACTCTGATGCAAATGTTGGAAGGCTTGAAGTTTCCCACAGGCTGCCTACACTATCTTTGTTTTGGGGTGGTTTTTTTTAGATTATTTTTCTTCTTGTTGTTCTGATTGGTTGTTTTTGGCTTCTTTATGTTCCAATTCATTGATTTGATTCTCAGCTTCATCCACTCTACTGTTGTTTGCCTGTAAATTGTTCTCTATTTCAATTAGTGTATCTTTCGTTTCTGACTGGATTTATTTTATGCTGTTGAGGTCCTCACTAAGTTCTCCAAGCATTCTTATAAGCAGTGTTTCGAACTCTGCATCTGACAGATTGCTTATCTCCATTGTGTTTAGCTCTTTTTCTGCAGTTTTACTCTGTTCTTTAATTCGGGTCATGTTTCTTTGTCTCCTCATTTTGGCAGCTTCTCTGTGTTTGTTTCTATGTATTGCATAGAGCTGCTTTGATTCTGTGTCTTGGTGGTGTGGCCTAATGTAGTAGGTGTCCCATAGAGTCTAGTGGCATGGCCTCCCCTATCATCCAGGCTGGATACTTGCAATGTGCCCTTTGTGTGGGCTGAGTACACCTGCCTCTTGTAGTTGAGCCTTGGTTGCTGTTGGCTGATCAATGGGAGAGATTTACCCAGGCCAATCAGCTGCAAGGACTGGCTGTGACCACTGACCACCAACCTCCATCCTCCATGGAGGATCAGCTATTGCAGGAGTGGGGTGGTGGTTCTCTGACCTGGTCTGTAATTGCCCACTGGGTACCTTGGATCTGGGATTTCCTGGGTGGTACAGGCTTAGGTCGGCCCCTATCTGTGTTCTGCCTGGGGCCACTCTGCATGAGCTATAAAGCAGTCTGAGATATGTGTTACTTGTGCTGGGCTTGGAGATTTCCAGGTGATGCCAAATCGTGAATCTTGGCTGGCTGCTGCTAGTGCCAGGCCTGCAGCCACTTAGCAAGAGGTATGGGAGCTGGAGGCTCACTGAGGTCAGCTGTTGCTTGTTTGATAGGATTTAGGAAGTTGTGAAGCATGAGCCAAGACCAACCATTCATATGGAAAAGTCATAGTTAACAGCTTGGTTAAGCCTGTAAGTTGTGTGGGACAGAGTCTCAGAGGATCTTCAGAGCAGGACAAACAGTGTGAGCCAGGTTGATGGAGTCTCAGATATAGCTGCTGCCTGCTGGCTCTGTGGCTCTGTGGCTCTGTGGGGGGAGAACTCAGAAAGGGACAGTGACCTCTTCCCATCTTTCTGTCTGACAGAAAAGTGTCCCCTAGCTTTCGCCTTGATGCTAGATACTTCAATTCCTTCCTGCATGATACTGGTGCCTTTCAAGCTGCTATCTTAGTGCTGGAGCTCAGAGAAAGTGAATCTGAGTAAATCTGTGTGTGGGTTCTTTAAGGGGAACTGCTTGGGACTCCACAATTTTAAGTTTCTTCTACTGATTAATTCCCCTCTGCTTTTTGCAGCCAGAAGTTATGGGGACTTATCTTCCTGTTATTGGAACACTAGGCTGGGGAGCCTGGTGTGGGTCTGGGACCCCTCACTTCCAAAATATTCCTCGTGAATTATCATCCACCACATGTGGGTGTGGCGTCAGCCTGTCTCCACGTCTCCACCCTCCTACCAGTCTGGATGGATGTGGTTTCTTTAATTTCATAGTTGTCAGACTTTCATTCACCTCGATCTCTGACAGTTCTGAATGATGGTTGTTCTAGATTTTAATTGTAATTTTGATGTGGTTATGTGAGGAGGCAAACTATGTTTACCTGTGCCGCCATCTTGACTAGAGTTCTATATTAGTTTTTAATTACATGTGTAGTATGTGAAATGTGTTCCCCCCAAAAAAAGAAAATGCAAGCCTTTTGATTAGAATAACATCCCCTTGGACTCTCAG